TCAGTTGGCGCTCATCTAATATGGCAACCAAATGACATGGGAGACATCTGACTTAGAATGCTGCCCACTTGAAGATCACTTGATTTGGTATCATAGACTAATTATCCAATACACAATTGTTGCCTGTAGGATCAATTCGGTAAATTTCATTTTTCGGCGAACTTCCTTCGGAGAAAATTAGTTTTCGGCGAAGGTGGACTAAATCGGCGATGTTGTCTGAGGTTTCTACTTTAAATATTTGTTAAAAAAATTTCAATTTCGAAACGTTTTAATGAGAACTACTAATAGTTTTTCGAATTTTCTATGATAATATTCTTAAGCGATTCATAGCCAAACGAGAAAAAAACCTAAAAAGCGATAGATATCGCTACCCCCTGTTGCTGAGATGTGAGACTAGAGGTGTAGGCCTATGCATCGTGATTAGTTTTGATGATTGATATACAATATCACCATATATCGTGGTTATAGCCAACGATAGGTCGATAAAACGAAAAAAATTCTGCGTTATTCTCAAAACCGGGTTTTAGGTCAGTAGTGAATCTCTGCGCAAATTTTTTTCAATATACTTTGCTTAGAAAACTGCAGTTTTTTTTTATTTATTAGAGTATTCGATCTTCTTTCGAATGAGGTGACGGAAATTTTTAATTACGCTCTAGTCTTGTAGAAAATCGTATATGTTTTGAAATCGTATGATAGTTTTTTCAGAGTTTAGGGGTTTTGAGATCTCCCAAAATAAAATAAAACAAATCTGAGTCCTCTACCTTGAAGTATAGCGAAAAATAATTTGTACGAGCGGAGGGTCCATTTGGAGGCCTGTGATCTCTAAGTAACTTCTGAATCTTAATGCTAATACCAAAGTATTAACTGATGCAATGCTAATACGAAGTCGACATTCCTGAGTGTTTGTATTATTGTGGATACTACTGTATTTTTTTTAGATAGGTATTGCTGTTTTAAATCATAAACGGACCAATAAAATGAAGAGTGACTCGTTCGAATAGCATCACCTTTAGTATAAATAGGACACGACGGATTTTCAAGTATTTTTAAACTTCCATATTCACAAAAAGTCCAAAATATCTCGTAAATCTCCGGAGATCTAGAGAAATCACTGAAGCCTCATGGAGTATGAGAAGCACTGAAAACCATCATGAAATTCTAGGGAACTCTGAAAAATCCTTAAAGTCAATCAAAATTAGGGCCCATAGAAAAAATTCGAAAATATTCATTAAAAAGTTTCACAATTACTACAAGTTTCACCAATTTACATGGGGTGCCATAACATTGAAAAAATCCAGTATATATGGAAAATATCGTTGAATATATTAAAATGAACTTCATATAAAAAACAAGCAAAAAGCTGTCGTTCTTTTCTTACTTCAGTCGATATAAATTTCTCCTTTTTGTTTTGTAGACAAATGTGCTCCCGTTCTATGTTGCATTGATGGGATATCCAATGAAGTGTGATATCGCTAGAGTTTTGATTGTCTATATACTTACATTTTTCTCTTTTTGTATTTTAGATAAAACTAGATAACATTATAGACGTTTCTCAACACCTATTCGAGAATAACTATGCAAAATATCGAATTAAAGCAATTTGATGCAGCGGTGTATTACTCAGGCAAATCATCAGAAGGAGACGAGGTTCACCGTGCTGAAACAGATTCACCGGGAACAAGTACAACAGCAGAAGAAGCCGGGGCTGATGGACCTAATACCGAATGCGATCAGCTGTTGGGAGATTCGGGTGCCCGACAAAATGCGATGGGAATTCGGGTGATAGAAGCACCATCGGAATCGACGGTCGAATTCCGGCATATATCTGATGGAATTCGGCAGACGGCTTTCATAGCAAGCGCAATATCAGAAATTGCACATAATTCTGGTGAGTTTCTGTCGCATCTGGAAAGTATCCATCGAGATCCAACACTCACTTTTATAGGATTACTAACACTCAAATCCTGATAAGGTCTTCCAGGAATTCATAAGATTATATCGGATTACTCAGTTTGTAGCGTTTTTGATCAAGATTCTATCATCTGTATGCTACTTTTGAGATTCCTAGATCATTATAGTTTGTTTTACGATTTACAAATGACTGTTTTGTTTTTAGAAGCTCCGTGCTTCACATTTGTATTAGTACGGTTTTTTCCTTACTAACACCAGTACCGATAGAAACCGTCAGACTATATTAAGAAAATTCTGATAAATTTTTTCTAAATAGAATAGCCATGTTCATTCTCTCACACAGAACTAATTTTCAATACCAGTAAAAGTTTTTTGATTTCGAGAAAAAACATTTTTATACTTATCATTTTTGAAAAAAGCACGTAAAATTACAAAAACATCTGAATCGAGTCATCGAAGATAACGCTCTATCAATCGGATGTTAAGAAATCATTATCGGTACGAGTTACAACTCTGCCTAGGCAAATGGGTCGTATGTGTGTACGAATTAAATAGATGTTCGCTAAAGAGATATATGTGGGCGGTCACATCTATGTATAACAATGTTAGTTCACTCACACAGTTATTCACAACTAAACAAGTCGGAAGCAAGTCATACAGAGAAGGTCCAAAACAAAAATTTCGATGTGTCAACTCGAAACTTAGAATTCTATTCTGATCTTCATTTACTAGTTAATACTCATTTATTTGTATCCAGTGGTTAGTACTACATTCCAAAAATAGGACTCAAGTAGATTTCGGCATCCTGGATTCGGATGTCACCCTGTTTTTGACAATATACCGACACAATTTTACCGTGTTTCTTATAATTCTGACACGATCCGATTGTAGAATCGGTTCTCCTGGCATGCAAGGAAAATGGTAGAGTATAAATGTCTTTTTAGATTAGCGATAAGTCGAATCTTATATGTCCTTCTAGTTGCTGGAAATAGTTTATATACTAGTGCATTATTCTATTCAGAATATTTCCAATGCAAAATTTACAGATTCTATATAGAGTAATCATTTGAGTTAATCAGTATTATATCATCTGTTCTATAAGACTAATACCAAAAATTAGCAGAAAATGTATTTCATTCATCAACGCAAATTAAAAACACCGCTCGTCTTCGTCTTTCTGTTGTAGACGATCGGTCCTAGAAACTACACATCTTCTCGTTAGATGAATTTAATTATTGCATATACACACAAATCTCAAAATACATCGTCACGATGTTCTCGCTATATTTCTTTTTTAGACAGTAAAATGTGTCTCGTTCCAATGTCTCTCTCACTAATCTGACTCACAGTCGGATTATTATTTACAATCGAAATTTTTTTGTCAAATCATTATGAAAAAAATTAAAAAAACTGCTGCAAAGGGAATATTTCCGTGAATAGTACAAGTTTCTACAGAACCGGCTATCTGCGTTTATTTTTAACACGTTATCACTACTAGACCTTGAAGGGATAAAACATAAGATTGAGTATTCATGTAACTTAAAACTATCTTGAAGGTAAAACAGAGTCTAGCATGTGGCGTTACATGTAACTCTTGTGATTCTAAATATTATGGACAAATAGAGACAAGCAGTTAAGATGGAAACAATCTGGCTTTTAATTCTGATGCGAAAATAATGTAGCGTGTTCGCGAAGAGAAAGATAAAAGACATTTTAAAAGTATCGAAGACGTTCAAAAAACGGATTGAAAGCAATAGTTCTTCTACAGATTCTGGTGACACAAAATATTCAATTGAAATACTTTTGTATATGAACTTAAAGTTCGTTTCCATTTTCGTTCAATAGACTGGCTTTTTTCATTATTTTATAGTCTAGATCGATAAGACTGAAAAAGTGAGACAAACGCGAGTGATTTTTTTTCTATTCTGCATGTGGATAATACTACAACAACTTTCATTTGTTTAGAATCAACTGAAGATCTATCTATGGCGGGAAACCGTGTGTACAACTCGGTAAAAAAGGTACGTTCATATGATAGAAAATGTATATGCTTAAATCTTTTGTTTATCGCAGGTCATTAAAAAGTTTCAACTCCATCTTGATGATTCCTCAAGGTAAGTTTTTTTCCGCCAAAGAGCGGGTAATTTGTCCCACTAACAGTTGTCCATCATGGTTGAAGCAACTACAGAGCTTACCTCTATACTATGTTATTAAACATCTAAATATATTTAGCAAAGCCTCGGCTTATTTCGGCTTTTTGGACTTTGAATATCCTGGTGATGGCGATAAGAAAGGCAACGACGACGATAAAAACGCTAATGACGATGAAACAAACGATCGTTTATCATCGGTAAGTCATTTTAATCTCTCAATTGCATTCACCAATCTAATAATATATGATCTAGCTAACAGCTCTTCAGGAAAACTTTAGTACTGGCTGAGTTGCTTATCTTCGTCCCTAGCTGATATATAAAGTTTAGTGATGCGGAAAAAACAAGTGTTTCTTTAATTACTTAGCTGAAGTAAATCAAAACAGTAAATACTAATATATGTTTAATAGTAAAGCAAAATGTTGCTTATTACCTCGAATTATGCAACTATTCTTGTTTCTGGTGAAACTTAGGATACCGTTTCAGTTAGTTAGGAGACGTGTAGCAATAAAATGAGGAATTGCTTTCTATATACAGCTGTTTGGCTCTGTAGTTTTTATTTCTGGTGATAAAATATTCAGACTGTGTATCTTTTCAGTTCATTCATCTTGCTGTTAGCACAAGAGCTTCTGCAGTAGCAAAACTCATCGAAGCATATCAAATTCCGTCTCCTGACTTCATTTTGTCGATTCAGACGGGTGATGACTATGCTAATGATGCAAAAAAAGAAAAAAACGGTGTCCAAATAGAAACTGAGCACGACACTCAACGCGCTCTGACTGCAATAGCAAAAATAACACGTAAATAGTTTAAGAAACCTTGCTGTTTCTCGTATTTATGTCTGAATATTTAGATCCATGGGTTACGACAAGTTGCATCGATCAAGATATGATTAGACTCGTCGGAAATGCACTTCATCGCGACATGTGTGGAACCGATGTTCCTTGCATTGGTTTTTGTAATTGGCAACACATAGCAGGTATCTTTATCATTAATATTAATACATCTGATCGTTTTGTATATAATGTAACTTATTATTCTTCAGGACGACAGGAACTAATTAGAGAGAAAAGAAGCGATACAAAATCAACGCCTGCTGAAACGAGACTTTCAGTAATTATCTTCACATAAGAAGCAAAATCTATATCTGTATGGACTTGACTAATTTTCTTTATTAGATGGACGATACGGGCAATGAGCAATCTCTGATTCATAGATATAAATTAATAACTGGCAATGGCAACAAGACTGACAAATCTCTTTGGGATCTAGAACCAAATCACACTCATTTTCACTTCTTCGATGATGAAACGAATAATGTTGAAAATGTATTGTTGAAACGGCATGAAATCGAACATGATCTCAGTACCAGCAAGATATTGAGATCACCCGTGGTTGGTTATCAACCAGAAAGTAATAGTATGTGTTGTCAAAACTAAAACCTATTTATCAACATTTCTATGAACTAATATATTTTTAGTATATGACAACAATATTCCAGTTGTCATGCTGTTACTTGGTGGCGATTTCCTGACATTAGCCGCTATATGCAAAGGCTTGAAAAATGGGACACCAGTCGTTGTTGTTCGAGTACGTATCCTTACATCTATCACCATCTCCTATAAAAATTAAAAATGTTGCAAGAAAAAAGGAATAAGTAACAAAACAACAAGCTGAAGATAGTCAGTTTCGTGGTATCTTAATTTCCTCAATGTTTCAATGATTAGTATTGTTGCTCATGCCTTACTCTTGCTTTTATTGATTTGTGTCGTTCTTTAGGATAGCTCAAATTACTCATTATTTGTATCCTTAGCCATTAACAGGTTACTGTTGATGCTTCATTGCATTTTTGCTGTTATTTTCTACACATATGGAACATATCAAGCGATGTTTGCTATCAGTCGATGAAACAAGCGCACTTTTTCTTTACATCAGAGCAGCTGTCGCCCTGTTTGACCACACAAATTCTCTTTGCATATGATTTCTTTCACAAGAAAAATATCTTAAAATTCTCATCGTTTAGTATTGAGTAAATGAGAAATATTACATTAAAATATGAATGTTTGAAACAATTCAATGTTTGTGAGACTCTACCGAAAAACACTCATAATCTCGAACTAGAAATCTTGCGGCACAATTTATCCAGTATTCAGTTGTGTAGTACGATGAAGTTGGTTTAGGAATATAGAAAAAATAACGTGACGGTTGCAGTGCTTGAAATTTCCATCCATACTAAGCAATGTGTGTGATGGAAACAAACTGTTTCCCATGTCTGTCACCTTTTGTAGAGAATTTTATTTTTTCGCCACCTATTACAACACTTCGTCACAATCATTTCTTACAAAATAGTATCTAAAAGATAGGTCATTTCGCATTATATGTATTGTATACGTTACTAACGAAGTCACTAAATCTATCAAATGTATTCATGACTCTTTGTTTTTCAAAATATTGCTGCTGATGACAGAAGCGTCTATATAAAAGCGGTTTTCGAGTCCTTCTTGATTTTCATCATCATCGAACTGAACGATACAGATATATGATTTGACAGTAGTGAAGTGAAATCGATATCGTTTTCAAAAGATATCAAACATATAATGTGCATGCATTGCAACGATTAACTTTCGTCACAAAAATATATACAATCACTTATTTCTGAAAACATTCTCAAGATCCATCAAAGCCTATTCATCGTTTTCGTTAGAATCGAGTGAAATAATTCGATGGGAAAAACCTTGAACAATAATTCAATATGATGTGTTTTTATTGTTATCTTTTTCCTATATGGCTTTGCTAAAATATAACGAAAAGATGAAGGTATTTGATCACAATATTTTAATAACTGAAGCTGACCATATTCACAATCGATTCCTTGTATCCTGTCATTTTAAAACCGATTAGAGTTAGCAGAAAGCGCGAAAATTCTAGTATCAAATTCTCTTGTGTAGGAAAATAGACGTGCTTATTTAGTCCCTTCATTAGCTATTCAATGGTCACGAATAGTATTTTGGATAAAATAACTCGAGATCTCTCTAAGAATAGTTTTGTTCTATTACCATATAGTTCTTATGAGCCTCTATGTTTAATAATCTACATATTAATGAAAAACAAGAAAAATCCCAGAACTGTATTTATGAGCCTCTATCCCTGATATTAATCTTGTAATTCGTTTAAATTTATTTGCATTTTCCCCATAGAATACAGGTGGTCTTGCTGATATCGTTGCTCAACTTTGCCGCAAGCTACCTCCTGTCGATCAACTGGCACAATTCCGAAAAGAAACATACATTGAGGAATGCAAAATCCAATTGAAAGATTTGTCTTTCAAGAAAAGCTTAAACCCCAAGCAAAATGGTGACGTTAGCAGTGAAGTGCAAAATGATGAAGATGAAAACAACGATCCAGTTGTCAAAATTGAGAAATACCTAGATATACTGAACGAAATGGAAGAACTCATAGTTGTATATGATGCCATCGAGCTCAATAGCAAACTTGAAGATGCTCTTCCCACTTCAATACTGAAGAGCATAAAATATCGAGTCGAAAATTTTGAACAATTCTTTCGTCCAGAAACAAGATCAGCTGAATTGGAATGGTGTCTTGTAAGATCTTTCTTTTATTTCTGATGAAATATTCTATTGAAATATTTGAGATGTGGAACAAAGATGATCATGCAAGGCAATTATTGATCGATCGTAAAGACCCGACTATAGCATCAGTCAACGGCAAGGAACAAAACAAAAATCATGTGAGTGAAATCTACAGATCAACGTATCGTTCCCGATTCGGATTATATTTAGATTACAGATAAGAAGTTTCATATTTAAAAATGCATAATTTCACCGAAGGTCTTCCTAAATTTATCTATTGTCTTGATTGAAATGTAACATTATATCCTCTAATGCCGCTCATGTATGTTTGCAAAAATGAATTAGCAGAAATTTTTTTGCAACAAAAGCAAGAAACTGAAAGCTTGCCATCGAATTCTAAGAGAATCGAACTCATTGCATATCCATTGGAGTGACGAATTGGTTAAGCTAACATACTATATAGTTTAAGAAATCTTGCTTGAAATGTATAAATGACGGTAAAAGACAACAAGAATTGTTTACTAATAAAACAACGTCGTGATAAAAAGTCAGTCTCGTGCGATTGTAGATGCAATAGAAAACTGGGATTTAATGCTATTTAAAAACGGTATTCTGATCGACTACGAGAATCTATCTTTAGCTAAGACTTCATAAATATGCTCTTTTCTTAGATGAATTCACTAGTGCAACAGTTACTGTTCAAAGCTTTGTATCGAAATAACGTGCTTTTTGTTCATTTGCTGATGGAATACGGTGCTTCAATAGAAGGTTTGACAGAAGAACAACTCAATATTATTTGTATAAAAACAGTGGTAAATCAAACTAGAAAATTTGCTTTGTAAATCATTTATTATCCGATCCATATCCATTTTTAAGAATGACGATGCTCTGCCCGTCGGTTCGATTTCACCAGAAGTAGGTGTTTCAACAAATAAACTTAAGGAATATGTGGAGCAAAAATATAATGGTTATCTTCAGCAATATTTACGCTACTACGTAAGCATTCAGCACTGTTAAGTATATCAAATTTCTATTGATTGAATAATTTAGATTGAAAAACCACGAAAAATCAGACAGCTTCGGATGAGTTGGGAGATGATATTCAACGATCGCAAGACTGAAGCACTTTATCTGTGGTTTGTATTCATGAATAAACCAGATATGGCCAAATATCTTTGCTCCAGAAGTCGAGTAAGACTTAACTTCAATCTACTTTCGTATCTAATTATCTTTCTACATCATATCTTAACTTTCAGAATCAAACAGTTGCCACTCTTCTTGCAGTTAAGATTTATCTGAAAGCAACGAAAATCTCGAAAAACCAACAGGATTTGAAAGAAATTGCAAAGTAAGCTGGTTGAATACTTGTTCATCCTATATAGAATTCTGTATGTGCATTTGATTTATTTCTTAATGAAAACAGAGGATTCGATCAACATTCAAAAGACATCATAGATGAATGTTTCAAAAAAGACAATAGTTTTGCTGTCAAGCTGCTCATAAGCAAAGCTCCCGCATTCTTTGACTGCTTCCCATTGGATATTGCCCGACGCTCAAACTGCAAAACCTTTCTTGCCAGTAACACAGTACAAAAACATCTTGATGACAAGTGGTACCATCATTTTGATCAACAGCGAGGAATAATGAAAATACCGGTTTCTAGTTTGGTATGTCAAATTTTTGAATAATACTTACAAATCATTTGTTTACTAATTCGACATTTTATTTAGATACTTCTGGCATCGTTGATCTTGCCTCTCGTACCCGTTGCATCGGTGTTTTTTTCTTCTCTCTATCGAGAAAAGTCTACCAACTCGAAACAGGTACGGATCAGGCATCTACCAAAACTGAGAGTCTCACGATACAGTCGGTCTACATAGAGATTTTCGTCTCAAATGAATGTATATATTGTTATGCAAATCTCACACAGTTCAGAATATAATTTGATCAAAAGGTAACCGAGCGTAGATAGGTCGAATCCAACATCGAGTTTAAACCGATTGGATTTTTTCTAATAAAATCGGATCAGGCAATTTACTGTTTGGTAAAACTCTGTCGTTCACTGGTAACAAGTCGATTGATATGTTACCATAATTAAAATTCTGATTTTGTAATAAGTCGATTTTTTTAGAAAGCTATAGTTGAATACTACCATCGAAGATGGAATGAACACCGTTTTAGCTAATGAGAAAATTCACTCTTTATTCAACCGAATTCTATCAGTATATCTGGACCATTTAACCAACGTGATCTCTTTTAATGATTTTTTATTTCGTTTAATTACTCAAAACCATCCAGTTATTTGTCTTGTAGAAGTTTACATAGGCATAATGAGAATTGAGGATGCAGCCTCCGAATCTGAACGTTAACCAAAACCAAACTCGATCAAAACATGATCAAGTATGCGAAACTGGAATTCAAAATCTCCCGCGAGTTCTCGAATTCATAGCGGGCATTGTTCTCTACATAACTATAACACATTAATATAGAATCAAAAACTTGTTCGATTATTGTCTAGTTGAAAGAAAACCTGTATGATGAAATGATGATAATTGTATTTCCTTCATTGACTCGTTTTTAATAGTTTATAACTATAACGAACTAATCCACTAGTCAATTTAAGTTATTTATTGCAAAGCTGGTAGTTTCTTACGATCAACTTAAAGAAATCTAAAATTCAAAAAAAAAATCTTGCGACTACGTGTTTCTGGAGATTTTCGCTGAGGTTTTATTCCAAAACATAGTTAAATTTGAATTCTCGGCCCTTCATTACATTTTTTATCCGTTTTTGTTTAAAACAATGGTGAAACTCAAACTCTTTGTCTTTGACTAGTGTTTAGTTAACTTTTGTCAAATACCAATAACAAGATTCGAATTCCTAATGCTAGATGAACTTTTGATCGGATTTTACCCAAAACTATGATGTAGCAGCTCTAGTCTTATTTCATTTCGACCATCGGTGAGATTTACATAATGCAATGTACATCGATTAAGTGCGACAGGTTCACTTGAGAGGGAAACCAATAATCTCAGTCTCAGTATATGTCCAGTACGGACAAAAGGTACTTTGCGAATCGCTCTTAATTTTCCTATTCTTTTGAAGGAATCTGAAACATCAAATCCATATCATCCAGTAGTGCCTTATCGATCGACATCGAAAAACAATGAATCGAATCGCTTAAAAACTGGTAGCATGCTTGATCGAATTAAATGGTTTTATGAAGCACCAATGGTACGCTTTTACTATAATTTTGTAAGCATTTTTCTACTCTGTTACTCTCCGTTATCTAAGTTGAATATTGTCATTTTCTTCGGTGTTTAGATATTCTTCGTCTTATTTCTGGCTTTATTCAGTTATGTTCTTCTTGTCGATTATTTTCCATTGAACGTTTACGGCGAGACGCGATCTGGTATCCGGAGTTTACCAATTCCAGTCACTGAAATTATTTTGCATATTTGTATTGTAAGTTTGGCCATCGATGAAATCTACCAGGTTAGTCTTCTTCCTCATCAGAATCCATTACTTTCCTTCCTTATCTGTTATATATTACTAGTTTATCTCACAAAGGATACAGAAGTATGATTACAGCGCCAATCTTTGGAATTATATGGATTGGGCAGGCATTTTAATTTACTTGATTGCATTTATTACTCGTTGGTTTGTCATAGAGTCAGTCTTTGTTTGCTCAAAGTAAGCTGTTTCTTCTTGGTTCTGTTCGACACTTGCTAGCATTTAATTGAAGAGTTCTTTCGTGAATTAAACTTGAGAAAAAACTCTATCATTAAAACTGAGAACAAAATTTATGAAGTTTCAATCGAAAGTAATGTACTGTATGTAGAGTTAAATCATTTTAAAAGACCATCATATTCCAAAAATGAAAAAGTACGACTAAACACTATTCTCTATATTTTATTACCTGATTTACTCCGGAAAACTGTGAGATCACTTTAATAATCGATGAGAGATAACTGATTTTCACAAAAAACGGACATTTTCGATCCATAGTCGATAAACAGCTTCCTTCTATTTCTATGTCGAGTCCGGAATATAATATCTTTCCCAATTAACTCCAATCGATATTTCATTTTTTCGAACTGCAATTGTGAAGTTTTTTTACTTGAGTGATAAACGAGGAAAATTGTAGTGAATAAGTTACATTCTTCATTTAGAATATTGATGTCGATTGATCTCATCATTTGGTATATTCGAATACTCTACCTTTTTACAGCAATCAAAGTTTTGGGACCAAAATTAGTCATGATCTATGAAATGGTGAGTCTGTCATTTAATAGAATAATATTTCATTCACTTATAATTCTTTCTTATAGATGAAAGATGCTCTCTTGATCTTTTTTTGCTTTATTCTTGTTATTCTCTTCGGTTTTTCGGTTGCTTCTTGGTCTCTCTTAGCAACTAAACACCAAGTCATTTGGCCGAATACGACTAATGAATCTTTCTCCAATATCACTGTGAAAGTGGAGAATGGTGATGAGCGCTGGAGTTGGCAATTATTTCGAGATGTATTCAATTGGGGTCTTTGGAAAGTGTTCGGACAGGTGGCCGAGCCATTTAACGATGCTGTTAGTGGTATGTATAAAATTCTTTTCATCGTTACTGTTAAGCAATATTTATCGTCGTAGAAAATGATGCCTATGGCACATTTGTTTTTATATTTGCAATCGCCTTCACAGTAATATCTAATGTACTTCTTCTTAATGTTCTCATCGCGATGTTTAAGTGAGTACTGAGCAATAACACATATCAGGCTTTTCAAATGATTTTTTCTTTTTTAACTGTGCAGTGAGAAATACGAAGATGTACAAAAGAAATCAAATGAACTGTGGCGGTGTCAACGATTCTGGCTCGTCTATGAATTTAAAGAGAAGACAGTGTTACCTCCACCGCTGAATATTCCATGCTATCTATTTCAACTCATAAGAACTCTTTACCATTATTTTAAAAAACCACGCGAATTATCAAGAAATAATCAGATTGCTAGTAAGATCATACTCATCGTGAGATTTTGACGATGAATTTTCCCTTTTAGATGTATTATCTGAGCCAGTTCCTCTGGTCATTATCAGTGGCGTAACTACCAATGATCACTTTTCAGACATCAATACCGGTAAAATCATGGACATCTTAAAGTTTTGATAATGAATTTCCGTGTTTTAGATGAATCTGGTGAACAAGTTCCTCTGATTGCCAATAGTGCTATAGTCGCTCCTGATCCACTTTCAGCTGTCAATAACGGTAAAATCATAGATTTTTCAAGGTGATCGTATCATGTTGAGAATGATTTCTTCTTTTTTCTCTAGTTGACACTCGTCAGATGAATCGTGAAAAAGTTATTGCTGAAACATATTGGCAAGATCTATTTGACGAAGAAAATCAGAAAAAAACGTAAGTTGTTCTGAGCAGTTTTCAGTGAAAGTATCATTTGAAGTATACTTCTGTACTTAATCAATTACTGATTCGTTTTGTCTTTACAGATTAAACAAGGAGAATAATGACACGGCAACAATAATCCAGAGCTATGCAGATCAAACACCACTTAGTGCATCAATTCAGGTATAGTACTCATTCCTTTCTTATCACTTTATCACGCTAGTGCAAGCGTGAACGTGTCCGTGACATGCCAGTTACGCTATTCGGAAATAAAAGTAAAAGTTATTCAATCGAGGAACTCGTTTCTATCAGAAATGCAACCGATAAGATTTAAATCGCAGATCGTTCATGTAAGCTTCTAACAATTTGCTTCAAATCTAATCGAACTCATTATATAATGCCAAAAAACATCAGATCGCTTATCTTTAAACGATAATACACGCAATAGATACACTATATTTCCATAATAGTTTAGTGGAACTCATAGTAGTGTATATAAGATTAACAGGAGAAATCAATAACTATACGATCTCCGATCGTTAAGTAATCATGAATTACCTAACTGTTTCACAAACATCTAAACCCTCAAAAAAATGAAATATGTAAATTTACAAAACAGAAAAAAGTCGCAGGAGATTGTCTCACAGTCTAAATCGTTTTCCAGTTCCATCTACACAAATTTTTCGTCTTATACGATCCGTGCACTCGAAAAATGTTTTGCACAAAACTTTCTTATTAGCTATTCTAAATTTGGCAGCGCCAATTCTACAGGTTTTTTTATATTTTTTCTCATTCGGCTAGTTTATTCTCTATCCGTATCAGATGTATGAAAAGTATTTCTGGTCAATCTAGATTCAGCATTTACTGAAGAAATAACGTCAAAAAAAAGCTGTTTGAAAATTGAATAACTATGGAAAGGTCACAATAATAAACTAGATAATCATGTTTCAAATCCACTTTTTAGATTAGCTTTTCTCCCAGTTGACTAGATATACTTCCGTGAGGATGTTAACAACAGAAAAAGGAATATCCGGACGATTTTGATTACTTCGCATTGTGCCGATGGTGTGAGAGTAATGAGGAAAGATGCTTAGCGAGATAATATTACAGATGAGTATGGGAGAAGAAGCCGAAATAGCTGCAGTTTTTCTATCTGTGTTCTGTCCTTTATTATCTAAGGAAATTCAGTCAACTCGAAACATAACTAACCTTACTTAATCTTCAAGCATAATTACCTAACTGAGTTCAAAAACAAACTGAAGCGAATTTGAACTAATTTTCAAAAAGATAGTCGAACCTACATAGTTAGATGATAACTGAAAACTCATTAATTCAAAAGCGATCGATTTTGTCAAGGTATGATACTCTTCGCTGAAGACAAAATGCGGTTCTATTGTTTATTTTACATGATTATGCAATTTGTAAGTAGCATAGCTTTTTTTTCTTTATAACAGTTAACCTAACTGTGTTGATGACGATAGAGCACTCCTATATGATGTAATTCTATTATTATATTCTCTCTAATTTTGTCCTTTTCTGTACTATAATGAATAATCTTCGGTAGTGTTGTGACATTAATATCAGCAGTAAAAATTGCTGATACTCAGTTATTAATACCGGATGCGGCATAATGATTACAACATCTAGTATTGTGTAAATATCTCAGCACAGGTAAATCGTATAATTTTGATTTTTTTCC